ATGCCCTCATAAGGTCTACTGCCTTATCTCAACCTATCACAAAGACAAACCATGTTGCAAACATGTGCACTAAATGAAGGCACTGCATACATTCTACCTACATGTGCTCAATTAATGTATGAATTCCAGGTGGGCCAGATCTGGGCCGACACTATGTTGCTGTCTGGGTAAATGACTGGAATCAAAATTTGTTTAATCTTCATTCAATGTTCAGAAACTTGGCCCGCCCCCTTACAATGTAAAAAAAAGTTTCTGCCTGAAATGTTTAAGTAATCAACTTAAATGACATTAAACTGACTTAAAAATGAGTTGAATCTTGTACAACTTGTATAAAAAGTTAAAGATTACTTTTAAAGCAATGTAAAACCATATGTTGTCATAACTTTTTGATCATATCATTTGTATAGTGTGTAATACAAGTAGGATAGATGCCCAACATTAGAAACAAATGGCTAAAGTATACATTTTTAACAAAGTCTGCATGCAATTGTGTAATGTTTTTTATCACAATCTAATGTAGGCTTTGCAAAGGGACAGATAACAACTATATCTGACCCTACGCTAATGTGGCTTTTCATTTCACATGCCAATGAAGGGGCGCTTAATTCTTAATTTTTGAATAAAGAAACGACTAAATGTTTGGCGGAAATTGTGCAAAAATGTCTATATTGTCAATTGTGTATGAAGCACAGCTCACACAAAAGTCACTTTCAAAACAAGCAGCTTTCTGTCAACTTGATGCAAAATCTGTGTGGAAAATCTTTAGCACTCAAACAAAATCCCAATTCACAATTGCGTGGAGTTGATGAAAATTTGCCGAACAATGGTAAATATTATCGCGCAGGTATAAAGAAATTCTAAAATAAAATATAAAATAAATTGAATAAAATAAAATGCACATTATCACCCTTTTAACGAAGATCCTTCAGGCACAGCAGCTAAAAATACATCTCACATTTTATGAATCCCAACAGACCTGCTAAATCCCTGGTAATGTGCATTGCAGGACATGAGAGATGCAGTAGGAGTGGCTATGGATGTGTGCTGCATGGGTCTAAAAGAGAAGCCAGCGCACCAGCAACCATTCCTGGATGACATAAATCAACTCCCCCTCCCCTTCTTTTCCGCTCAGCCTGTGAATTTCACTACAACGTGACTTCCCTCCCACAGTTTTTACGAAACAGCTCGTGGCCTGAGCTGCCTTTGCATTCCTCCACCCAGAGGGAGAGAAAGAGAAGGAAAGAGACTGCATGTTGTACATGTATGTGCAGATCTTATGTCACAACTTGCCCATGTGCTTCAGTCAAACCAATAAACATCCAGTACAATTTATTACCCTCTGCAGCTTGTTTTATCACTTTCCTCATAACCTTACGTTCGGTTTACATGGCATATGAGGACTAGCAAGCGAGGACAGGCATATGTACAACATGTGATGTGCTTTCAGAAATGAGGAGACAAACATACATCACAGGCCAAAAACGTGAGGGAATGGAATTCACCCGAGACATTGCATAAATGTGTCAATGTCACCTCTTACAGTGACCAGTCTTTCTGGTTTGCCATACTTTTCTGGCTTACATATTCACAGCTGTTGGTCAAGAACTGGATTAGACATTTAGAACCGACACGTGGAGACTCTTATAGGTTGATGCAGACTCATAATTCATTTCTATATGCAGCCTGAAGGAAACTGGCTCTTATATGGTCTTATGGATTTGGCTCAACCTCACAATCCCACATGAACGATTGCATCTGGTAAAAACGGCTGTGGTGCATTTTAAGCAATTTGCTTTGAAGTTTATCTAAATTGCTGTAAGGTATTGAAGTTCTTGATCTGAGAACAAATTGTGGTTTGGGCATTTGTTTGATGAAAATCCTTTGTATTTTGACAAAAAAAATAGGTGCGTCCATAACTATTTAAAGTAACTTTTAAGCTTATAATTGTACAAAAAAATAAGAAAAAGTCTTGCTGTATCGTGCAAAATGAAAATTCTTCGGATCAATTGAGCATTTCCTAAGAATTCATTAGAGATTCCAGCTTATTGAGATTTCGGACATTTCGGTCTTACGTTCGTAAAAAGGTTGTACGGATTGAGACAACCTTCTGACTGAAACGTTTGTGTCTCAATTTTCTCTTACAACCTTTATACGAATGCCTGACTAAAGCCTTACGAGAAAATGTACGGCCTTTTGAACTTCATCACGCATTATTAAACGCATTAAAGATGCCATTCAAACTAAGTTGTGGGAGTTGGAAGAATACTGTGATTTTTTTGTCAGCTATTTTCTCGAAGGTCGTAAAAAAGGCAATGTATAAAGACAGCAATGTTACAAACTTACGAACTGCAGGTATTTGTAAGAATGCTGTGGAAGAATGCAGCGTATAAGACAAACCTTTTGGTCTTATACAAACTTGATCAGGCAGCGTATTTAGGAAACAAGATTTCAGTTTTTTTTAACTTCAGGCATTCGTACAGTAAGCATGGTGTAATAAACAGCAACATATTGATACAGCAACTTTCAGGCTCACAATCTCCATCAGGCATTCATAAGAATGTTGCAAAAGACAGCAAGATATTGACACAGCTACATTTTGAAGGTCCTTGTTGTCTCAATAAATATACGTTTGAATATATAAACTTTGTCTGCCATTACTAATGTCTAACATAACCTTTGCATGAGGTTTCTGATACTGAAAAAATTAAAAAATAAACAGAACAAATAGTTCTTGTGATGTGAAGCATGTTTTATGACCTCCTCAGAGATTGTGTTTGCCCATAGTAGACTTCACAGATGAGATGCTTTACAACTGTAACCTCAGCAACACAAACCCGTGTAGCTTCAGGCAAATCACACACATTAGAGGCCCATTGCTGTCTACAGCCAATCAACACCGACCTTAAAGTTGCCCATGGGTGTTAACTAGTTCTCAGTTTTGAGAAAAAGAAGGTCTACACTCTGGCAATAACAACTTTTTTTTCTTTTAAGGGTACAGTTTCTTGGCTTCACTTGCTAATTGCTTACACGTGATCGTGAACATAAATAGTAGCTAATGTTTTCAGCCTTTCTAAATCTGTTGGCTGGATCCTTGATATTATTAAACACTAACTGGATTGCATAACCACTTGGAGTGGATTGACATCCACAACAAAGAAATACCTGATTTAGGCAATCGCAGCATGCTGATCAGGTTTCCGGCTCATTTAACCTCTCAAAGTCTTACGAAATATCACAATGCTTGATTTCACGAGGCCCGGGACAATAGTTTTATGGGTGAACCGTGGGTCACAGGCCCTCGTCGTCATCCTCCACCAATGATTATGGTCATGGGAATTATCGTAAAGTATTGATTAGACAAACGTTATGTAACCATCTCCATTTGTAACACAATAACAGACTTTTTTTTTTACAACGATAACTGAATTTTTTTTTCTTCAGACATTTACTTATGTAACTTGACAAGAACAAAACCTAGAGCAAGAGTTGAAAAGAGATACTGATAACAAGAATGAGAGAGAAAAAAAAATTATCCCAATATTATTTTACCCTCCAGCCTTCAGTCCATTGCAGAGAACATCCTGTGGAGAACATTGGCTGTAAAACAAGGGACTTTCTGTTAAGACTCATTAGAAATGATTTTGTTTATCTAAATGTATCTCCAATAATATTACATACTAAGGACAGAATGTGTGATTGTTCTTCATACAGTCTTGATGATGCCCTGAGGGTTTGAGGAAACCGTACTTGTGTTTGCTGGATTGCATGCACTTGAAAAAGGTCAAACAGGCACAAGAGAGGAAGAACAAATTCTGTAACTCCAAGCGGAAACAACAACTATTTTTGCTGCAATTACGATGCAAAATAGTGTGGTCACGTGGACAACACAGACACTGGCCAAACTATACTTCCACACTCCAAATCTCTTACATAATAGCTTTCTAATCACAACGTTGGAAGACTTCCAACATGGCCTCAAATAACTCTGTGCAGGCATTAGGTCATAAATCTCTGTTAAGGCAGACATGATAGGAAAAAAAAAAAAACCTTCATCAATGGTCAACAGGTAAGATCTTACATCGAAGTGCATAGTCAGGAACAGGAATTATACAGTACATAATAAAAAAAGTAAAAAATAAAAAATAAGAATAAAAAAACAAAAACAAACATTATTACTAAGCAAATTCATTGTTACATCATTCTGCTAGAAAATACAGTAGTTGATGTATGTAAACTGAAGTTTGGTCTCTATGGGTAGCCATATATACTGCGTGTTTTAGTATGGCTGAAACGCTGTGTTGACCAATCAGCAACCAGGACTGGAACGGTTTTCTTATACAAGATGAAAGAATTTGCTTAATGAAATAAAGTTTTATAGGAGCAATGAGGCGTATTGCGAAAATAGTCCTAGTGCCTAACATGATTCACAATATGATTATATTCACAATATAATACAGCCTCACACACCTTATTGCTTAATAAAAGTCATGCAGCAAGGCTTTAACCTGTGCTCGGTCAAATATTGTTCTTGCATATTGGAGGAAGTCCAAAACCCACAATGAGAATAACCAACTATGACTTGTTCCAGAACAAACCTTGATTATGCAAGGAAAAACAAGCTGTGTTTTTAAGAAATACTGCAAATGTTTTATAATCAAAACCTAAGATTTGGTTGAAATGTGTGGATTGGGCCACTGCCTTGCATATTGAATACTTAGTCTTTGTACTGTGTACTTGACCGGGGAGTCATTTCATGGAGCCAAATGGACAAACAAACAAATGAAAAACAACCCATAACAGCAAAGGTACAAAAAATTAGTTTGAAATGAGAATGCTGATCAAAATAAACACAGAAGACTGTATGTCATGGAAACCTTTGAAATGGCAAAAGAGAACATACAAGAGAAACCCCAAGTGTCATATCAATATCAATATCAAAAGTGAGATAAAAATAAAACATTTGTAATAGTACTGGACAATGTTGCGAACCTCAATTTGACATGAAGTCTCTAGGTAGCTTCTGTCAGGAGAAGATCAAGAACTTCTGCAGAGCTCTCCTGATCTGCGTTTTCTCCTCAGGCTTGCTGTCTGGAATCATATCTGCGCTGTGTAATGCGCTCAGCTGGACTTCTGGTCTCTTGTCTCTGACGTCCTGCAGCCCTGCCTGGGTCACGTTCCGGCAGAAGTCCACCCTCACCTCTGTGAGACTTTTACCGTGGTCCACCACAGCCTGGAGGACGGAGTCAGTCAGCCGAGCGCAGTTTTCTAGACTAAGGCTATCTAGCCTCCTGCAGCTTTGTAGCACGTCGATGACATTGTGATCCGTAATGTGTCCGCATCCAGACAGAGTCAGCGAGACTAGATTCGGACACCTAAAGAAACAAGAAGCAGAATTTCTCATGCTATATGACAGAAATATCTATAATTTGATAATAATACAAAAGAGCGATATGCAGTGCATACATGTTTGCTTGCTATTTGTCTGGAAAAATAGATTTGAATAGTGAATTATCGAGTAACGAACAATTGTCCATTAAAGCTGAAGTGTGTAATTTCTGTGCTGCTATTTTTCAAACAGGTTTCCCTAAACACTCCCCTTGTATGTGACTGGTCAATTAAACTGATAGCCCCGCTCCCAAACTCATTCTATTGGTTGATCCTGTTGATCCTCTTAGTTAGTATTGCCATATTAATCATCTCAGCATGTCTTGACATATTAATCTGGAATCAAAGAAAGTATTTTCATTTTTTTTTAAAGACAGCTTTAAGTGACTAGACAGTGAGAAATGGGATATGAATTTCACAAATGTAAACAGCCGCCAAAGATGCACTGGCTGGAAAACACATAGTTTACTGCATTGCGAATGCTTTTTATTCCTCAGGGGACACATGAAGTGGTAGACTGTATAATAAACGTGTCAAGTTGTCACAAACTGTAACCCAAAACTGTTTAGGCAGTAATTGATGTGGCCCCACCAGGCATTTGCATGGTATACCATACCTGTAGCATAACACAAACCATTCCCCAAGTCAGTGTTTGCTGCATCAGCTATTTTTGACACATAAACACAGCTGGTGCTCTTGCTAAATCGCACCAGCTGAAAGCCGAGCCATTTCCCAAGCCCACACCAGTGAGCTCGGGCAACAGGAACCTTCTGTACTGGCTTCTGGAGAGTGGCCCTTCTGTGTGTCCGTGTTTCTCCTCTGCTGCAGCCTGCTGGGGGACTCACACTGGGTCAACACACACACACACGCTCACATGGAGCGAGCTAATGACTGTAGCTTTGAGATGTCATTCACGTTTACTGATGCAGATTATATAAACTCTTACATAATCTTACCACTTAACCACATGTGAGACCGGCACATTCCAGCCGCCTGTAAGTGTTATGTCCCAATAACCCTGGCCATGGGGCAGATCTCACGCTACACGTGCCATTGCTTTCATTATCACAGACGGCCATCTGTGACACAGACGGTCTGATAAAGGGATCAACGGGAGAGGAAGGATGAGAGAGGCTCACAAGAATTCGAAGCCTCGGGGATCGGTTGGTTTGACAGATTCTGCTGGAGCAGCTTTCGGCCATTGTGTTTGAGCGGGAGGAGTTTTCAGAGCTGGCCAGATGAAGTAAACACACCAGATATATGCGTCGCATCATCTCCGGTTACATAAGCACGTCTTCCTCTCGTGGCTCCGCCTTTCTCTTGTGCAGATGTTTCGTTTGTTTTGGGTTTTTTAAGCACAGATTTCCATCAAACAGGCTTTTTTTTTTTTTTTTATGAAAAACTAACAAAGACTCAACTAAGTCTTATTTTACTTTGCTTCTGAGAGGCTGGGTGTGAAGGTTTCTCCACGAGGATGTGGCCTCTATAGACATCCCGCACGTGGCAGGACGTACGCGTATAGTAATTTACCAGGAATTCAATCTAATGCTTTTTCTTTGAACTCAGAGTCATCACAGTGACAGTAGTCTTCCTATAGGCTAATGTCTCTCTCGGGACACTCTAGACTAGAGGGCGTGTCTAGGGCCAAAGGACTGAGTCTAGAGACTTCTTTTCCCTGAAGCGGCAATAATGATAGGTCTGCGCCAAGAACATCAACAGAAAAAGTCTCACACAGCACATGGATGTGGTCAGATGTAGTTACGTTCTTCATTTTTCATTTCTATTAGCCTGTTTGGATAAATGGTGTTATTCATCATGCGCAATATCCATAACAAATTATTTGTTGTGGAGCCAAAGGTCTAAGCCATCAAATCGCTGAAACAATTTTTTTTAGTGTTAGCATTTTTGGCCATGAAAATGTCTGAATTCGGTTCTGAATTTTAGTGGACGGCAACGGTAAGTTGCACTAGGTGTTCAAGAAAGAGAAAGAAAGCAATGTTTTATTTGAAGAATAAAACTAAATCCCTACTTGAACTTAATGACACCATCTGAGACTTCTTCTTCCCTAGGCACTGTTTTATAAAAATTTCCTGCAGCTGAAATATATTGCCACAATGGCGTCAGTCAGTGTGTGTGTGTGTGTATGTCTTTGTAGGAAAGTGAGCTAGACACACACACGTGCACACACAGTGCACAGTGACTGTGACGCACATGTGCATTCCACCCTCATCAACAAAGAACTGATTGTAGGCTCCACCTGCCAATGCAAATCATGAGAGGAGAGCGCACAAGGGAGGGACTTCTTTCTGCTTCTCTCCAATTTCATCATGTGTTGCTCCAATTTTCTCTGGTCAAAGGGACAACCATCCTTATGCTGATGAACCCCTAATTTAACATTATTTATTTTTTTACCCTAAAGAACCCTCAACAACCATCTTGAGTTGCATTGGATCTTTGTAGAATTGTGTACCCTGATGTCATAAGAGAACCCGTACACACCCGGACGAATATCGGCGCGCGTTATTCGGCAGTGTTTTTCAACGCGTTTTTTGTGTTCACACCCAAGCGATTTTCGCTGACGATGAGCCGAGTGAACATGCAAATTAATTCCCTGACATTAGATGGCGCTTAATGTAAAACAGGAATAGTCCTATTTTTGTAGTCGCTGTCGCGTTTGTCATATAGTTCTTTATGTTCCGACACCAACGAGACCAGCAGCTCCACATTCATCTGGCCTTGCATCTTCCTCGTCTTATTTTTTCCCGGCAGTGTAGACGCTACTTGGCGTATATCTTCTTCGCCGTTACGTATGTGTACTCGGCAAGACCGTTTTGTGTTTGAGCGCCCCCAAGTTGTGTTTTACTGTAACTTCGGAAGCTCCAGACACGTGAGCAAAAGCGCCAATCTCATTGGTCAGATAGTTTTTGACGCGGCGCGTCAAACCAAAAAACCGAACCCGAGGCGTTTTTAAAAAAAATGACGCTTTTACGCGTGGCGTTTTTCGTGTCGGTGTGCACACTCACATTGGCGCCCTTTGTTTAGTCATGAGGCGTTAAACGTCGTCCCGGTGTGAACAGGCCTTTAGAATGATCTGGTTCTTGTGTTCTAATTCTTTAGACAGAGCAGAAAGTAACATGCTGATCTGAAGAACCTATAATGAACATCAAGAACTTAATCATCAAAAAGTAACCAGTATAGCCAACTCAAGAACCCTATGATTTCATCATGTGTCGTTCTATAAATCTCTGGTCAATATACATCCATATTCACACTTGTCTTTCATTCTTACATAAAAATAAAGATTTTAATATTTTATTCTTAAGGAAGAACTAAATAACATAGAAACCAATACACTGACCCGAGGAACCTATAATGTAACATAAAAAATTAGAATAATTAAAGTCGGCATGAAATCAAAATTGATTCTTTACTTTGTTAGCGCACATTACGAGTCTTGTGGTGAAAAATTAACCAGTGCAAGTTAACAGAAAGACAGAAATTGTTTGTAGTAATCTTTAATCAAATCTTTAATCTTGTTTGATCAACACGTTCTCATCCCAAGGCGTCATCTAACTGACACTTTTGACCATGCGTCAACATGCCGACGCACATGGTACCCCTTAAGCGTCAATATGAGACGCTCATCCTCGGGCGTCATCTAACTGACGCTTTTGACCATGCGTCTAAATCCGACGCACATGGCACCCTTTAGCGTCAGTTAGATGACGCTTCCGTTATGGGTAGGTTTAGGTCTGGGGTAGGGTTAGGGTTAGACCACTAGGAGGCACGTCTCATATTGACGCTAAAGGGGTACCATGTGCGTCGGCATGTTGACGCATGGTCAAAAGCGTCAGTTAGATGACGCCTTGGGATGAGAACGGGCTGGTTTGATGGCTTTTTCTCGCGTTTCTTGTTAAAAACTCCCCTCCAACCGTCAGTCTGCTATGAGCAAGGGATGGAGAGGAGCGCTAAAATAAAACCCCCCCTCTATCAAATATTCATATACAAGTTTCACTTGGAAATACATCACAACACTGAAGTAAAGTCAGTTGCAACTTCCAGTTCACACTGACTTTAACCTCCAAAAAACCTTTAACAACCACCTTGAGTTGACTAAATGGTTCTTCAGACATTAAAGAGTTCTTGATGTTTCATAACACATTCTTCAGATCAGTAAGGCAAAGTTTGGCTCTTTTTCTGAGGGCAATGCAGAGAATTACTGTAGAACCTTTTTTTTAAGAGCTCTGCCAAATCACAGTGTTTCTTTTCTTTTTTTCTTTTTCGTAAGTGAGTTTACAGTGCAGAACAGCAGCGGGAGAAACCGCAGAGCTCCATCATGTCTCCCGTTATTATTGGCTGCCTGGAAGAGGCTGTACAGATCTGCCCTTAAAACTCCAGAGGGTAATTCAGCTGTGCACTGCATGCTACACCGCAGACCTCGTGTCATTCAAAACTTGAGGCAAACTACATTCCCAGCCTCAACACGCTTCGAACGCAAGCCGCATCTATCGCTGATGACGTGCATGCTTGAGGCTAAAATGTGTTTATGATGAACTTCTTAAGGAATGAAGGTTTGAGTAGATCCCTATTAGTCAGACACAGGCGGAGTTAAATGACTACGGGAGGAACATTCATGCTGAAGTCATTTCAAGCTTTCCACCATTGATGTCTGTTCCTTGAAAAATATCACGCTACGTCTTAATGTATCTGCGGTCCTCAAAAACAAAAGTTTCTGAACGTTCTGTACTCATGTAATTCTTTTCAACCCATAACAGAACCTGGTGAATGAGTAATTTGCTGCAACACACAAGAAAGTGGGCCAGTGTTGTGTTCTATTCTTCCATACATTGAGTGACAGTCCCACAGCTCCGTGTTGACTGAGAGGGCCTGCGGTGTGCCTGTAGCTGTGGAGTGATGGGCCAGTTGTTGCAGGCAATGCGTGAAATTTTCCAGTTGGTGTCTTTGTTTCCATTTACAATCTTTTATGTAGGGATTTAATGAATTTATTTAAGCCAGCACCTTTATTTAAGCCAAATTTATTAAGCACCATCGTAAACCAGATTAATTCATAAACATTTAGTTGTGACTTGTTTTAAAATAGTTTCAAGATTTTGCAACTTGACAGAATAAAATATATATATATTGTGAGAACTAACTCTTCATCATTTACTCCCTCATGCTTCAAACCTGTATGACTCGCTTTCATCTGTGGAACAGAAGTTGATATTTTAAAGAATGTTCATTCTACTCTTTTCCCCATACAACAAAAGCAGTATGAAGTCTGAAGGAACAGAACAAAATCAGCATGACACTGAAATTCGGTTTGTCTGCATGACTTGATTTTGTCCATCTGGAATAGATTGGATCGCTAATTTCTGCAATTTCATGTAAAGTGATAGAAGTGATGATGTTGTGAGGATGATTTTGATTAAAAATATGCGCACAGATAAATCATTCATAATAAACACTGCAACATTCCGTAAAAAAAAAAAAGGCTTCGATTTTATGCTGACTTTACTGACAATTTTCCCTCCACCACAGCTTTCATATTTCATTTGCGCTTGTGCATATCAAACTTGACACGTCATGATAGGCTATGAAACAAAAATCAAATGTGATTTGGTGTCATTGATGTAAAACACATGTCTTTATGCAACAAGTTTGAATATATACAAGTGCAAATGAGATTTAAGTCGAAAACGAAAATGACTAAAATGTTGGTCTGTTCGACACACACATCGATCATATTGATTTTGTATGGACAACATTTACGTTAATAATATTGTGGTTTTTGCACTATTTGGAGCTTGACAGAGCTCTGCATATTCTTCTTCCAATGTTTGGAATAACACGAGGATGAGTAAACGGTTACTTCATCGGTCTAAATATATCAGGGTACAACATCAGCCTGGCCGAGAGATCAAGCCAATGACAAAATGAATGTTGATGCCAAGACAAACAGAAACACTCACATGTGGCAAACCCGCTCCAGGAAGTCACTGACGAGGCTCTCGTGCTTTCTGCAGAGGTCTCTCTGGAACGTGGTCTTCATCCAGTCCTCGATGTTGCACACCTTGACCCTGCTCGAGTGCCAGCATACAGCCAGGTACCTCAGCGAAGAGCTCAGAACAAAGTTGTCCCTCCTTAACTCGCATGGAGACCTGAAGTGAAGTAGCGTCCACAGTCGCGGGTCCAGGAAGACCTGTCTTAGTCGTACGCAAGTCAGGGACAGGCTGCGGCGACTGTCCTTGTCTAGGTACGAAAAAAGGTGTAGCAAACACTCCTGATCTAGTTCTGTGAGATGCATAGCAAGACTGAAGACACTAACAGGCCTGCTAACAACCACAAAGCAACGGGACAACGACGAGTCTTGTGTGGCCTGGATTGCTGCTTCTCCCCCAGACTGTAATCTAACTGAGGCCTTGCACATATAAGGTCGTAAGGAATGGGGGTTATTTTGGGAGGACCGCTGCAGGCACGGTCAAAAATGGAAATGTGTGAGGCACATGGACCCTCCCGGTCCATCTGTCTCTGACGCCTGGACAGGAGGCAGCGTGAGAGACGTTTAGAGTGTGGCAGCTTCTGTTTATCACTTGCAAGAGGCTTCACTCAGCGCCTTACATCTTTGGGGATGGGGGATGGCGAGACACTCTTCTACACCGAAACACCCCGTTTACTCCTGGTTTTGCTTGCATTTTGGTTGATAAAAGACGACACACTGGGGCATGTTTACACGACAAAGATGTACTAAAAACAGAAAAGTTATTCCTTCGTGTTTTTCACATACAGGCGACAATGTTGTCAAATCGATCCCAGTTCACACGGATCCGCGAAAACGACTAAAAACGCTGTATTATTCAGGCCAGGCCAGTAGTTGGCGATGTCACTTTGTAAAGAAACACTACGCCTATAGACTTGATACGTAATACGCATGTGCATTACATCACCGTTTTCACAAATGCACGTTTTTGTAGTTTGCATGGAGAGGATAGCGGTATTGTTTTCAAAAACGTGCGTTTTCAGACCACCAAAACGCCATTGTAGTGTAAATGAACAGCCAAAATGCATATAAGGGTTTTCTGGTTTTAGTAGAAAATGGTGTCGTGTAAACGACCCCTTAAGGTGGTCAAAGTAGACATTCGCCAATTTATCCTGTTTCTCACTTGTGATTGGATCGACCAAAAATCAGGTATAAATGAGCCAGAGATTCTGAAAAGGTTTTTCCAGCAACTGGGATTTTGTATAGACAAAAATGCCAAAAAAATAAGATGATAATGAAAAATAACAATGACTACTAACTGGACTGGTGTCAAGACTAAGGAGCTACTGGCAATCCATGCAGACACCGAAATTATCTGTCAGGTTAGCGGTACCATATGAAAATGTTTTTAAGAGGATAAAAAACTAAAGAGCAGGGTTTCTCGAGAGGAACTTATTTTGGTACGACATGCTTTTGATAGTTATGGAGAGACAGGAAGTGATAGGAGAGAAGCAAGGGGAAAAAGATCAGGACAGATTTCGACTACCCACAAGACTAAGGGTACGTTTACACAACAACAATATGCTTAAAACGGAGAAGTTTACAGACGACCCATTCAAATGATCCCCATTCACACTGATCCACAAATAAACACCCTGTATTCTGCTACCAGACCAATAGATGGCGATGAAACACTATAGACGCAACATGACATCATGACTTTGCGTAAACATACACGCCACTTTCAATTCAAGTGGCGTGTTATCTATACGCATTTTGAGCTATCCGCGTGTATGTCCACGCCGAAATCTTTTGCGTGTATGTCTACGCCATTAAACGTCCGAGTGATTCCGCGTGTATGTGTACGCCGTTAAATGTCCGAGCGAAACGAAGCAAAATCTATATTCTACATCTGTGGAGCGATATTTCTTTTCCTAGGATGGTAGGAGAAGACTCATAAATGGTATTAACCCCAGTGACGGGTAGGTTTAGGGACGGGGTTGGGGTAGGTCATATATTTATATGTACATAATACAGTAATATAACGTTAAGTCAAAGGCGTTGATAAACACGCTGAAAAGCGATTATGCGTGTTGATAGCACGCCAAAAATGGAAATACGAATTGGCGTGTCATACATACGCCATTTCATGAGATCAGTCTGATAGACTGAACACGGAATACGCATGTGCATGACGTCGTCGTCTTCAGAGATTCGCGTTTTTGTTGTTTACACAGAGACCGTTTTCAAAAGTTTGCGTTTCCAGACACCCAAAACGTAGTTGTCGTGTAAATGAACGGCCAAAACGCGTAAAAAGTTTTGTTTCTATTTAAAACCGGTGTCGTGTAAACAACCCCTTAGACTCAGACCGGAATTCCGTTTCCATCTTGCATTTACACAAAAGGCTCTCCAGCAATGTGTCCACAAATTTCCAGAATTTGAGTGTAAACGTAAGTCGCCTTGTTTAAAAAATTTTCAGTCAAAAGTTTGAACATACCTGACTGAATGTGAATATATTTCTAACAATACTGCAGATAAAGTAATTTTGCGGCACCAAATGAAATGACAAAAAATGTATTTGTGCCTTGTCACCTGCCATTGGTCAGCCATTGGTTGAGCCAAGATTGCTGTGTCAGGCTAGTCAGAACCCTCAAATAAACAATGTTTAGGGGGAAAAAGGAAGGCATTGGTTTTTGGCAACATGTCAGAAAGAAAGTACAGAGTGAGCTGAAGTCCTGCACGTGTTGCGCGCACTGAACAAAGTGTACTTCTAAATTAGCAAGGCTAGCATTCCTGCCCCTTACTGGAATTATCTAGAGACAATATCTACTACACTTTATATGTCATTTGCCAATACCACCTGCTATCATTAGGTGAATCACAGAGGACCTGGCAATCTTTTTCCAAGTAAAGTGCGATTTCAGCCTGTAACATTTGAGTCACTTTCAATGAGTCATCATGACATGCCACGACTGACGCAGTGGCACTTGATAACACAAGCAACGTGATCTTATTGGCAGCTGTGACCTAACAGGAGAGAGAGAGAGAGAGAGAGAGAGAGAGAGAGAGAGAGAGAGAGAGAGAGAGAGAGAGAGAGAGAGAGAGAGAGAGAGAGAGAGAGAGAGAGAGAGAGAGAGAGAGAGAGAGAGAGAGAGAGAGAGAGAGAGAGAGAGAGAGAGAGAGAGAGAGAGAGAGAGAGAGAGAGAGAATAAACGTTGTTGTCCTTTCTAAAGTGTGACAGCTTCAGACACCTGTTCCTCACCTGTTCTTCGCTTGCACGTGGGGAAGTCCCAGTGTTTGCTCTGCCCCCAGGAGTGTGGGTGTGGGTGGCAGCAATTGATAGAAGGAGAGAGGAGGAAGTAAAAGAAATACTCACAATGGGAACAATGCACACCCTCATACGCTGTTGTTTTGGAGCGCTTTACGTCATTAAAAACCATTTTACAGTGGGTGACACTGTAAGTGGTCATCTGAAAAAAAGACTATAGAGAACTAGTGTACTTGCCACTATATTTCAAGCGAGGATAAGGAGAAAGCTACTCCACCTGGAGCAATTACATGGGCACAACAGAGGAAATAAAAGCAATCCTGTACATTGTGACACACTCTGACTGAACCCACACCCGTATTTGAGAACAGTGCGTACCTGGTACCAGAATCATTCAACCAAATGCGAGCAAATTCAAATGGTGTAACAGCATGTCCTTTTGTATACAAAATACGCCTAAGTTAACGAAACTAGAAAAGTTTCAAATGTTCTTCATTCCTGGTCACATACACCCAGGTTAACATTGAGATCAATGGGTAGTTTATATATACACTATATAAAAAATATAATATGTATGTGTAACCTAATATTTTATTATTATCATATATATATTATCTTCTTTTCTTATATACTTAAATATTAATATTATTTTACACACGCAAATGAGTCGCAGAATTGGAAAGGCATTGGCAACGCAAGACATTGTATTGACGACATATATTTAAATATGGCGCATTTTTAGATTTACTTCCTTTAGGATTTCTTTTTTTTTCAATATTAACAGATTATGATCTATTAATTTTTACCCTATTTGCAATGACTGATATGGAAGTGGGGCATAGCTAGTCCCAGCATAAGCCGACACACCCACGGACCATCTGATGCGTATTAGCACACAAAAAATGCCAAGCACTTCCTCTCTTTGGCAAGCTCTTCTGATTGGCTCGGTTTGCACAACTTCTGGAAACAAAATCATGTTAACAAGATTTCATCTTTACCCAGTCCTAAATAGTACCAAAATGAGTGGTTGGGCCTTTTATATGTCAGTCAGAACCAGGGTTATAATAGTTAAAGGTACAATATGTAGGATTTTTGCAGTAAAATATCCAAAAACCACTAGGCCAAATATTATATATTTTGTTTAGTTGATTACTTACAATATCCCTAATGTTTCCAACCATTTGTAAATCGTGAAAAAATTGCGATTTTAACCAAGGAAACGGGACGTGTGAGCAGGGGTGAGGAGTCGCCAGTCAATGGCGTCATATCCGCGTTACCCTTGGTTTCCGCTCGTACTGCCATAGTAACCATGGCGACAGACGTGGACAACTGGGTAATGCCTAGCAGGACGCTCACGCTGTTGTTGTTTTGTTCAAACATTATGGACCATGGCAAGCAGACTTTGAGACAAAAAGAGGACTAGAACGAAGATCAACATCTTTCGAGATGCCGAGAGCTCCACGTCCGCGACTAACTTTGACTTGACAGAGACGCGAGTGTCGCATGTACTTTATTAGACAGGTGAGCAAATGTACATAAAACTAATCAATGTTATTTAGTTCAACATGATGAAATGTTAGAATATGATCTGTATGTTATTCTAATGTTGATCTAGCTTACCGCTAGTCTCATACAGCCAACCTAACTAACAACATTCAACACACTCAAATCCCGTTTAGTGTGATAGTGTAACTGTTAGAGCAAGTGAAACAGCGCTGCGTTAACGTTACCTCAAGTTTCATTCGTCTAATAAACTGACCTGTGTGAGTATTATAGTAACACTATGTAGTTTTTCAACCTTCATAATATATTTCCAAGACCCTTGTGATGGTACATCGACTTAAAATAAGTTAAATGACACGTCTGCCATAGCCTGACGTGGTCTTTATCGCTTTTACTGGCACTATGTAACTTCGGGTTTCGGGTAGGAACCCGTGCACAAAAAGAACTACAAAATTCGACCGCTTTACGGCATACGTCACTTCCCCCACCACTTCCTCAAATTGTCTATGGCCATTGCAGACATCCCAAGTCTCCCGGGAGTCTCCCGCATATTGATAGCGTCTCCCTGATGCCCGAAAATTAGTTAAAATCTGCCGGAATCTAGTGCGCGCATGCGAGACAGAACATACTGCGTGCATAACATACATAGCGAGAGCATGGCAGAGAGGGAGAGAGCGAGAGACCTTGCGAGTGTGCCTCACGAAAGCTAGTCAACCCGCCACTCCTGAAATGCCAAAATGCCTGAAAGATGATTTTATCTATAGATCTACCTGTTGAGCCACTCGAGATCGACTAGTTATGCCGCAAATTTGTTTTTAGGAATCTAGACCTTCTATACAATACAATAATTCATTGTATGCATTTTAATTATGAGAATATAATAAAAACACGAATCAACTTTTGCACAATATGCATCCCTTTAATTCTAAAAGGACAGAAACTTTACATCAGGTCAGACATTTCCAAGCGTAAAGGAAACGAAACGAACTATGTGAGCTACTGGACCCTTCTCTTCAAAATTCATTTTCACATTAGTGAGGTGATAGCTGTGTTTGAGTCAACTACTGCTTTGTGATAAAAAATGACATCTTGTTTTGTTATGTAAAATCATACATTTCAAGTTTTGGTTCGGAAATACCTCCAACGCCAACCTAGATCAAATGAACGGCAGGCTCAGAGGACAAGAATGAATTTCCAAGCTGAACAGAAAAAAAAAAAACCTTCCTGGAGCAGCGAGCAGAACGTTGGCGTGAGTAGGGAACGTCAAGTGTCTGACACAAAAACGAGACGGCTGTCATCATTTCAGCAGACGGGAAAAACACTCAATTAGGGAAAAAAAAATCAATTGTAAAGCATTTTGTTTCTACAGTCAATTTTTTTCAGCCCCCTGAAGAATTGCCTTTGGAATCTCATTTCACACTGGTGGCATATGAAAACAAAAACAAAAACTGGGACAGTCTATTCAACGCAAGTCATCAAGTCAAAACGTAAGCAGCAATTCGGTTTATACTGAGGTTCTGTGACGGAGAAAACATAACTGGATAGCATAGGACATGAGACGGATGACGGCACACGTATGAAGGTCCAATAACTGAAGTCTTAGTGCTTGGGTTGACTCTCTTGATCGCTGTGCTCTGTGTATAACAGAATGTAGGCCTTGGCTTTCAGCACAGCCTCCTCATTGACCAGAGTGACCGTGCTGTCGTTGAAGTGGTACCATTGGCCCTCGTGACGCCCGTATGCCGTGTAATGTCCTGAGCCGATGCTGCGGGAGATGATGGAGAGGGGATATCGTATATATATCAGTGATCTGATTATCTGTACAGAGTGTGAATTGATATAACAGGAAATAATAGGAAACAGCCACTGATATAACATCCCCCCCTAGTGGATGACAATGAAACAGAAGTTCAGGCTGGTAAATGAGTTGTATACCACAAGCTTTTACTTACCCAGACCCATGATGCACCACCACTGCAGCAAGATCATACAGGCCTCTCTCAGGCAAGCTGTTTTCAGGCTGAATATAATTACAAAATTGTTATATTTTATATAAAGACAATCATATAATAAGAAGTATATTTATTATATAATATTATTGTAATCATTTTTTAAAATTAAATTACTTTTTTTAAATTTGATAACTAATCAATTAAAGTATAGTAATATGAATATTACTTTATTATTTTACTACTTTATATATGAATAAAAATGAATAATAGTAATTGTATTTATCACTATCTACTTATGTTTATTTAAATATGAAATATAACAAAAAAATATTGGAATTAATGTTTAATAGTAATATATTTTATGTAAATAATTTTAATGTTTTGAATTTATTTTATATATAAAAAATATAAATTATTATTAAATTATATTAAAATGGTATGTTAATATATTTGAAGAGTAATATGACTAAATATATATATATATATACAAAATGATTGTATTTTTTTATATTAGATACTGAATATAATAATATTAAAATAATTTTTAATTACTTCATATATAAAGTAATAGCATAATAAAGTTATACATACACATATATATATATATATTACATTATTACACTTTATACTATTATAATTATAAATAATCTTTAATTTAATTAAATATAATGACATTTATATATTAAAAAATAAGTGCATAAATTGCCCCCCCCCCCCCCCCCAAAAAAAATCAGTTATAAGTAACGTTATTACAGCATTAACAGAATTAAATGGTTTGCTCTCACCTCTAACAAGTAGCTTTTCATGTCAAGGCCGCGCATGGGAAACTCTACATAGGTGTCAATCTTATTCCTCAGAAACGCTGTCCAGTGGAACCTTTTCAGATGCAAACAAAGCACCTGCACAGGCACAAGACATCATATAACCATTACAAACTACATTGAGATTAAAAAAAATGATATTTCTATAGGCTACTTCCATCACCTTGGGCAGTTTCTGGATCCAGAATTTCTTGGTGGACTTTTGTCGCTTTTTGCACTTGTGACACATGTAGAGCTCAGTTTCATCAAGTTCCTCAAGGTCTGTGAAACTATAAAGGCAATCTGTAGCCGGCAGAGAGACGGCACACAACCTCTTAGTGTTACTGGAGAACAAAATTACCTGATTTTAAAAGTTACTAATAACATCTCTTACCTCTCAAAGTGCATGTTGGCCCCGGCTCTTGGTCTTTTGTGGTCTTGATTCTGAACTGGCTGGGAATGTCCAATGAGAGATCTGGAGGAGAGCAAGATTTGGCATAACCATGGCAACAAAAGCTTTTAGAGCTGATGGACCAGATTGATGACTCACCTAGGAATGGATCAAATTTCCGAGACTCCGTGCCACATATCAAGCAGTACACCTCATTCTGTAGGACGCCACCAAACACAGATGTAACGATAGTGGAGGTCCCGTTTCTAGCAGAAAAGCAAAAGCATTATTAAAGGGGTCCTATTATCACTCCAATGGGAGTTTTGCACACAGCACACTGTTTCTGAACTCCCTGAAACGCCTTGATTGTAGTCTTGAGTTTTCGTCAGGGAACGAACACGTCACAATATTCCTTATTTAAATAATTCCCGCCAAAAAAAAGGGGCGAGGCCTGATTGAGTTGCGCTAGTAGTGTGTTGAAACCCATGGTTATTGGTAAGGGCTGTGACATTTCCCAAACACGCTCAAAGAAGTTGACCAATCACAACACACTGATCCAGTCAACCAATCAGAGCACATTGTGCCTTTTGGAAGGAGGGGCTTCATAGAGACCAGAACTAAACAGAGCGTTACTGACAGACTGGGAAGAGAGGTGCTGCGACAATGTCAAATTTGTGAAATATAAAGTTTTCAAGCTTTAAAACCTAATCTATTAGACCCCAAAAACTAAAAGACGACTTTGAACAAGGGAAAAATAGGTCCTGTTTAAATAAACCAACATGAGTACCGTTTCCCAAATGTGTTCAACAGAACCAGGCCCTTGTGAAAGCACATTTAGTCCGTCTATTCGCAGCAGGATTAACCTGCCATTTTGTTCCGCACAATCCAGTGAGCACGACACAACACTGCACTTCCTTTTCAATAACCCTGCAAATCCACTCAGGTCACCCTCACAGCCCAGGCTGGGGGCTTCCTCACTTGTCTGCTGCTATTAATACAAACACAACAGGGTGGCTCTGCCTCTAGCAGCAGGCAAGTGTGGGAACAGCAGTCTCTGTATACGAGAGAGACTTCCCTCTGCGTGCCGTAAAGAGTTATCTTTATCACTGCTGCCCACGTACTCGCTAAACTAGCAGGGGAGATATGGAACGAGGGGCGGCCTGCTGAGATAGACCTACCTCGAATTAGAAATTTGCCCCGAACCATCTGTGTACCGCTTTGACTAGGAAAAAATGTAGTTAACTGAAGACAAGTTGTGCATTTATATATATATATATATTAGGGCCGGGACTTTAACGCGTTAATTAAGATTAATTAATTACAGACTTTAACGCGTTAATTAATTACACAAAAAAATATTTTTAATCGCACTTATTTTTGCACCGCGGAACGTTTCTCACTGGATGAGTTTCGGCGGACCGATTATACTGGCGCACCAACTAGCGTTCATGACGAAGAAGCTGACGAGGTCGCTTTGGTTGGCCGGTGGGTGGGAAATTTTGTTACAAAAAACGAACGGATGGAAGCGTCGATAAGAGCATGGTTGTGTGCAAGCTATGCAACAAGGAATTCGCTATTGCTATTAGTGTAGTGTAGCAATATGCTATTGCTACACTTAATGGCAAAAATCGCACTGGTCTGCTGGACTTGGTTGAACAAAAATAAACAATATTTTGTTGCTTAAGCTTATGTATTCAGTCATTATTCAATGGTATACTAAAAATCCATGTGAAAAAAATTACTTCTCCCTGTTCTCAGGTCAAATATTTATGCGATTAAAATGCGATTAATTTCGATTAATTAATTACAAAGCCTCTAATTAATTAGATTAATTTTTTTAATCGAGTCCCGGCCCTAATATATATATATATATAGTAGTGCTGGGCAAGTTAACGCGTTATTATCGCGTTAACGCATTTATTAATTAATGCCGACAATTTTTTTATCGCGCGTTAACGCAGAGGTTTTTTTATTTTTTATTTTGAAAGTCCGTTGCTCACTGCCTCTGAATACACATAGGCCTACAGTCAAACCATGATCACAGGAGGGGTGGGATGTTGGTCAGCCAGCAAATAACCCACCCAAACAAGCAGTGGATGGGCTTTGGCAGGTTCTCTCAGGTGAACAGAAAGGGAGACAGCGCTCCGCGAGTGAATGACAGGCGCTCTATGGATAGTAACCATGCAACGGCTTCTGTGCGCTACGCAGCTGTAGCCTTTTTAACTTAAATTAAAATTATACATAACTTTACCTGATAGGCCTGCGTTTAGTTTAGCGGGGATGCTCTGCCATGTGAATTCCCTCCTGTTGATGTCCTGATAACTATTTCGATTCTGGAAACTCACAAACAGCGAGCTGAGGATCAGTCTCTCTTCCAATGATTTGTGCTGCGCGTCGTGTACAAAAAAGTTAGACAATTCAACTTCGGCAACGCGCGGGCGCGTGCGTGAGGCGAGCATGACTGCAACAGTTTCACAGGAACGCACCCGCTTGTCGCTGCACCTGTGCTCGACCACTTCACCTCACCTCGCTGATTTATACTTCTGCGTCGGACTTACGCCGGAGCCTCTACGCTATAGCCAACGCGTTGGTTTTCATTTATATATCTGCGTCGTTGTCCGCGTTGACGCGCAATTACACATGCAGAGGGAGAGTGTGAAACCCGGGGAGCGGTTCTAGCAATCACAGCGCTTGCGGTACGCGTAGAATTGACGTTACATTTTTGGAGAGATGCACGTCAGGGTACGCGCGCTACACAGCTACGGCGTGAGTTCGACGCAGAAGTATAAATTGGGCTTTACCTCTGTTTAATGTAATCTTACGTGGGAAACCATGGCATGCCATGACCAAACCTAAGCTTCTATCAGAGAAGTAACGTTGGTCGACTTATATCTGTAGTGATCATGACCCTTTGACTACATAGACTGTTTCTGCTGCTCCCTGATACAAGATACCTGTTCAGAAAAAAAAAAACAAGAAAACTGGACTCGTTTTAACAAGCTAGATAAAAGGTAATGCCCTGGCAGTGGCAAATAGCTTTGTTTAAATATTTGATTTGATTACATTAATGTTTAAGTTGAGATTTACAAGAAATATTTTATTGATACTGTGTAAAGGGAATACTGCTGGTATAAAAGCACCTTATTTGTTTAAAGTTTTTGCAAACCACATGTTATTGCACTTTTGTAGCAGTACATTTAAATCAAAAGTGCGCAATACACTACTAGAATTCATTATTCAATTTTGCGCGTAACAATGCGATTAATAGCGATTAATCGCAAGAAAATCATGCGATTAATCGCGATTAAATTTTTTAATCGTTGCCCAGCACTAATATATAGGGAGAGAGAGAGAGACTTTCCGCTACTATGGCGCTTGCAAAAAACACTGCGTTTGTTTGAGTGGTCCAAAATATCAAGTTCTTGCTTAACCAGTGGCGTAAAGCTGCCTTTGACGTCGAGTAGTACGGGAGCTTTGTGGAGTTCCAACCATATGCATATGCAGAAATTTTGGATCCGAAATGTAATCAACACTATGAGCGCGAGCGGAGAATGACCGGTATTTTTCCACTAAAACATCATTCTTTAAACACTATTTCTATAAAATGGCGGTTATGAATAATTCGGAAATAAATAATTATTTAATAATTTTTTACATTGTTTCAGCCAAGAAAACCTAGTTTTTCTTTCAGACATGTTGCGTGCCATTTTTTGTGTGGATACATGATACACATGTTCATTCAAATCATTAATTCACATAATAAATTTTTAGGGTTCGACAGATAGTGGATTTTCCCGATAACAAAAACTAGGTTGGACCGCACTGTTTCGCCTCTAGAGGCCGCTCTCGCACTGTATAATGACAGCGGACCCTTCTCAGCCACTCAAGCAACAGATGCAACCCGGAAAAACTATCAATATGGATTTATGCCGATCATTCCAGCAATCGGTTATCGGTGCCGATTAATCAACAAAACCAATCGGTCGACTTCTATTCATTTTAACAGTGAATAAGCAGCGGGTAACAGTTGCTTTATGACCAATTTGAAAGTTACGCAAATGTCAGAGATAATAGTGGAAAGGCGGCTTAAGTTTTGGGCAGGACTATCTGTTTGTCCAAACAAAGGCGGACATGGGAGTATAAATTACAAATGTATATGTTCAGAGGGGTATCATACATGCAGCATTTGCTCTCGGAGGCATGTTTGGGTCGGTCCGGGGGCAGGGCGGGACTGGGCGACCCGTTCTTGCTCCCCTGCATCTCTCTGTGAAGATGATCCAGCAGGTAGCGCAGGAACTCGTGAGCATCCTGTTGCTGGTAACCCCTGCAAAAACATCGGATAAAAGTCAAAATTGATCCCATTACTTTCTGTAAGATGTTCTTGGCATTTTTTGAAGATTCATCAGCGCATGTTACTTCAAAGAAAAACAATTTTTGACTTCGTAAACTTTATTTCAAAATAAACCAAGAAAACACTTCGCTTTTCCGATGATTTGGTCTGGCAGCATATTTCACAATCAAGGACACATTTTTTCTCATTTAATATTTCTCATTTAATATTTTAGGTCACTAATATTACTCATTGTTATTACAATTAGTTCATATAATTACGGAAGTCAAATGTAAATATTTTACATTTAAAATGTACTATTTACTACTTATATTAATATTAATATATATTAATATTTACTATGTCATCAAACAGAAAGTAAAAATATTTGGCCTTTTTTTAATTATTGGTACTGCCCATTCTGAGGGGGAAAAAAAGAGTTGGAAGCTGGACTTTTTTTGGCAGTGTGGAAAACCTTGTCTTTATTTGCGAAAACTACTATATTTGTAAAAATTACTATAATAAGATTACAAAATCAAGAAGTTCCTATCTAAAGAATAAATCTGTTTACTTTACAGATTCATTTTTTCATTAAGTTCAAATTATTTATTTTAATTATATAACTTTACATTAGTAAATAATATTGTAAATGAAATCACATATATCGGCCATTGGCCATCCAGCTCTTTGAGAAGCCAACATAACGGTCGACCACTAGCAAGAATGGATTCTGGGTGCTTGAATAATGAAAAATTTAATTGCATTTTAGTGTGACTTGTAGTATGTCTTATAAAAGCTCAGGATGACAAATCCAAGGAAAAAACAATAAAAAAATGCAATAAATTGTGTGATTTTATGATACCTGAAACTTGGCATTATTTTCCAAATGACATAAAAGAGGGCGTCTGGGCTGAAGGCGGTCTGACTCCCTTGCCAAAGTGAACAGAGTGTTTTCCTGAACTCCTCAACCAGAGATCTGCACAACAGAGCAGAAAAACACTGGCATTTTAGGGACATTACAGGGACTGATACGTCAGGCCTGTTCTGGGGTGGCAGAGAGCAGAGAAAAAACTTGGATTAATGCAAAGAATACAATGTATCTCAACAAATAATTGTGTGATTAGGATAACAAAATATATGACCTGCTCTCATCCATGAAAACCATAAACAAACTACACAAAGTAAAAAAAATAAAGACCCAAACTATTAAATACAGGTTGTATTAAGGATAACCATAGATTGCATCAACCACATTGTGTTTTGGCCACCGACATCAAAATTTAACATAAAAAAAAAAACATGCATATTCTTGGGCAAAACCAGTTGATAAACACTGTATTTGTACTTATTTTATGTATAACAAATGAATTTTTAAAAAGTTGAATAAAAAAAAGTTTTTAAATAGATGTAGTGATGTATTTAAAATTTCAGGAATTCATATTTTATATTTTATTAATATTTTTATATAATTTGATATATTTAAAATTTATATTTACTTTTTATAAATCACTTTTTTAAAATGACAAATATTTTTGTCATGGTATATTAATTCTGTAAGTAAAAGAATTGTCCACAGATCAATATGTTAGTGTTACAATCTCTCTCTCTCTCTCTCTCTCTCTCTATAATGAGTTCAAATAAATTCTATAATCACTCATTCAAATAAATGTTACACACTCTGTGTCTGATTCAAAGCGGGCAGAATGCTAGATCTAACTAGCAAAAATTAACTAAAATTAACTAGCAACTGACGAAAATAACCGTCAATTTTACCCTTCCGGTCAAATATTTCGCTGCAAACATCAATAACAGCTTTACGTTGTAAATGCTGGCAAATGACCATGGTATAAGTGGGATAATCCACAGCTAGCTGTGCATTCAATTATTTTAATGCACTACGCTTCACATTTGGTGGTTCTTTGCCTCCACGTCATGCATTAATATCATTTAATGCACAGATTATCCCTTACATATATGATACTGTAAGAGCTTACACACAAATAAAAACTGTTCTGACTACTTTCTTTCTTTAAAATAAAGGACACCATTCGAACCCCCCTCTTTGCCATTCAGTGGAGAGGACCTTACACACTGCTGTCCCCCTGACTCCTGGTGTGGTACATTCTCCTTCCTGCCGTTTTCCCGCTTCGTAAGGCCACCGAGGGCAGCTCCTTGAAATAACAGCTGAACACCTGGATGTTACTGGAGACAGGAAACAAAAACCAGCGTTTAACTAAACAGACCTGTCTCCAACATGACTCAAAATCCTTACGCCCTTTTAGTATATCTTTCAAAAGGCAAACTAAACACTGACAATATGCCAGAATCCTCGGAAACCTTGCCAAAGCTTCCTTTCCCATGGATTATGACCAGCAAAAGTCCACAAAAGAAAAGGTTTCTTTTAGGTAGTTTTAAACCTTATCCAGACCTTAAAACCAATGCAGCTTATCAATAAAAAAAAAAAATTATGACACTATAATAATTAAATAATGATCATTAAAAATAGTAAAATATTATTTGCTCTAAGTAAAATAGCTTTTGCGATAATCTTTTATCATTCTGTAACTTGATAAAATCCATGGGAACAATAAGACAGTGAATAAATGATGACAATGTTCAATGCTTCCCCTCACTAGTTCATAATAACACAGGCCTAACGGTTTATGATATTTGGCATGAGCTACTCGCTGCGGTTTAGCCAGTGTAAGGTTGGCTGCGGTGAGCGGGCAGACGGCCTAATCCGTCACCTGGCTTCCCATCAAGCTCTACTCCAGCCAGCTCACTGGCCACAGAGAGCAGAGAGCCACTCGAGCTCCTCCAGCCGGGACACACACACCCTGCCAGGACACACATCGCCGGCTGCCCTTGGCTCGGGGTCGTGGGGGTCGCTCTTACCTCAGGGACTGGAGAATGGCATTCATGAAGCAGGTGTTGCCCAGATTGCGGAGGCCTGTGGCACAGTGTGCTAGAGTGCCGTCCTGTGTGGGGACATTTCAGAAAAATTATGGAACCAGCACACATTTGAAAAAATGATGCATACATAATTTAAACTAAAAGTGAATGTATACACGCCACTAGTTAAATTTACAAAGCAAAAATCCAATTGCTTCTGAACAGTGACATGACCAGAGATTTCTATGAACTGTACGTTATGTATTTTTATTGATACATTTACTATTTTTAAGTTATATTTAATGTGTCAATGTATATATAGTTGTGGTTTATTATTTGTTTTATTTTATTAAAATATTACATTCACTACACATATATACAAAATAAATATTTTTCGTCCAAACCAGACCTACACATGTAAAATAATTGGCTTGTTTTAAGCTTAGAATGTTAATAATAATTAGTTATTATATATATTATATTAAGTAATACATAATAGAAAATAATAGAAAAATTATGATCAAAAATGATGTTCAAAATGTTTCCAACATTGATAATAACTGAGTGCCAAATCATCATATTAGAATGATTTCTGAAGAATCAAGTGACACTGAATTCAGCAAAATTCAGCTTTGCTTCACAGAAATAAATGTTATTTTAAAGTATATTTAAATAGAAAACCATTATTTTAAATTGCAATAATATTTCACTAATATAATATATATATATATATACACATTTAATTTTAAATTATTCTTTTTGAAGCATTTTACATTTTTTAAGCTCCATATTATTAGCAAAATAAGCAAAATATTCAACTTCAAACATTAATAGGCTACAACATGACAAGATATTGGTGTGGGGAGTCATAACAATAACAAAACCAGGGTCACATAAAGGACTTCATGGGAAATCATTCTGTGAGGAGAATTTTTACCTTCCAGAAATGAACCGTTCATTATTTGGTGAGATATGTAGATGGTCGCATCATGTTTTTCTGAACCATTTCTCAACACACTGAGCCCTTTTGCACACATATCTAGAATCAAACTCAACTTACGCTGTCTTTCTTCAGCTTGCTGTCATGAGAAGAACTGTCTGACAGCTTTCTCTTCCTCTGTCTGTCGGTATTAGACACAGAGCTGAACAAAGAGAATAAATCGTTTCAAAAACAATGTATTCATGTGATGATGATTGTTGAATGGATGCACTTCGACAAACATCAGTCTTACTTTTCCAAACTCTGAAGATGTTCTCTGACCCTCTGCACATTTCCTAGTTTTGTGTCGTTCACCACAAATTCGTCACATCTGTAACTACAGAAGAAGAAGAAAAAAAAAACAATGTGAAAGATTAACACAAACACTGCTCACTGAATAATATTGTATGTACTGTCCCTTTAAGGACACTCGTATCTTATTAATGTATTTGTGTAAAGAAACCAACCAGTATGTGCTAAAACTGTTGCAGTCCATACACACAGAGTGCTGCTGACTCTTCTCGCTCAACTTCTCTCGCTCTGGCTTCCTTTGACCGCCACCTGGAGCCTGAATGTCCTCAAAATGCTTTTTGGCATGGCCGTTAACATACCTGCCACAGCAAACAGATGCAAAGGATATTAATATGTGTGAAATTTAATATATTATTAATCATTCAAATTGGATTGATTTTAATTCAATTTACTTACTAAAATAATTGGAATTTTTATATTTTAATACAGCTTAAATATAATTCTTCACAATAGTAAATCAAGGAGCTCTGGATTTACGCTTGAATGTAATATTAAGTGTAAATCATAAAGAAAACCGCACACACTGAAACCACAAAGACTAAAAACATCAGTTTAAGCACTCACCTTCCGCAATGCACGTTCAAGCACGTCAGGCAAACCCACGGGCTTTTGTTTGACCGGCAAACTACAAAAAAAAAATGAAATAAAATAAAAAATCTAGATCAATATATAGATATATATACAACATACATGATATAACATGGCATTTTACAAATTTATAAAACCAGACAATCATTTCTTATTTTGAATACCTTTAAAAATATATAAAATAAATAAAATATCAAAATAAAATCCTCTTGGGGTTATACATATATTTTTCTCTATAAATTTGTATAATATTAATAATATTATTTGTGTAATGTATTATTTTTCTTTTATATTTTTATATCTTTTTTTATTTATTAATTCATTCTCCCAATTTGTATCTATTTATTTATTATTATTTAAATTATTATACATTTTCCCACAAGGCATATTTTTAAGCTCTATACTAAACATACATTCTTCTTTATGTTTTCTATATTTGTAAATATTTTCTGTATTTGCTTAATTTGTATAATATTTAGACATACACATTCTTCTCTTGGGCTTAATATTACAAATATATATATATATATATATATATATATATATATATATATATATATATATATATATATATATATATATATATACACAAACAAATACTCTGTATTTGTATAATATTTGTATTTTTGTTTTACTATTTGTATACTTTTTTTATATTTTTTATAATGTTTCCATAACTGTTTTTTTTTTTTTTTTTCAAAACATAATTTTACAAATATAACTAGGCATTAATTAAGTATACATCCAGACCCACATAGCAAAAAGATGAATCCTAGTGTATAATAATAAGCAGTTTTGCGCTGAGCTGAGGTGGCATGCTAACCTCATGTGAAAGTAATCTCTAGCTGTGGCCTGCTGGGAGAGAGAGCTTTGTTCTAATTGCCTTGATCACCTTCCCTTCTGAGTGCACAACAAGCATCTGAATTAGCCGTTGCTAAGGAACGGTCGATTCTGGTGAATGCTGGTCTGTGCACGACCCAACAAATGTGGAAAAAGTCAATAGACCCCGTGCGTCTCCTCGTACCTGCTGTGCAAGGTTAAGAAAGCAGCAATGCTGTGCTGTTGTAACATGCTTTATATAATGTGCTTCATACAAAAGAAACCATTCTAAAAAAGTCGGTTTTATTAGGAACAAAACCACCTAAGCAGGTACAATTTGTATGATTTCTTCAATGAATCTGACACAAAGTAGTGTACAATTGAAGCTATCTTGAATTATATGGTATTTAAGGTAGTTCATAGCTCTGTTTTACTAATTTGATTATTTTAAGTGAATATTAAAGTATTTTTAGTAACTAGAGAGATTCACTGAAAAGACATGTTTCATAAGTGTGAAATGTGTTAAACATGAGATATGGGGCATTTCTCATGTCCCGTGGGTGTGCTGAAGGGTCACTGGCGTCACGCCCTAGATGTTCATGTGTTTTCAGTGTAATCTAACATGACAATTCATCTCGACCAAAAATAAACATTATCATACACTGCAAAAAAAGATTTTTCACAGATATTAAGAAAATACTAGGCTATTTCAGTTTCTACTTTGAAATTTCACATTCAATTCAATTAGGGATGCATGATATATTGGTTTTAAATATTTACTTCATTCGAAATATGTCAATACACAATATAGTATATAGATAGGCTAATACAGTAGTCAACATTTGAAGTGGATCATTCATCAAAGTTGTCCTAAGACAAGAACGGGTATAGTTCAAAATTCATGTATAACTTTGATGAAAGGTTTTGATCCACTTCAAATGTTGACTGCTACTCTGTGTGTATATATATAGGCTACACATGAATGTATATAAATATTAAAGTATAGGCTATATTATGTGCATGATGTACAAAGCATTTACTAGTTGTTAATATTCACTACAAAACATCTTAAAGTGTTTCTGCATTGATATTTATTTATCAGATTTATCCATGTCAAAAATCTCAAAATAGTTAGCCAACTTAAAGTTTGGGGTCAAAAAGAAAGAAATGTACACTTTTGTTCACCAAGGACACATTAAACTGATCAAAAGTGATAGTAAAGACATTTATAATGTTACTATCGTTTTCTATTGATAAGATGTGTTTCTTGAGCATTAAATCAGCATATTAGAATGATTTCTGAAGGATCGTGTGACTGATGACTGAGGAAATAGCTGCTAAAAACTAAGCTTTTCCATTACAGGAATAAATTATATATATATATAAAAAGGGTAATATTTTACTATATTTTTGATCAAATAAATGCAGAAGCAGAAAAGACTTCTTTCAGAAATATTTATATTGTCCATGATATAAAAAAAAACAATTATCAGCCAAAATTGTATGTATGCACCCCCAGAAATAATCCCTCTAATATACCCATTTTTACATTTTGTTTTTATTTGGTCCATTTAAAATCTATATGATTCTGGTGAAAATCAGTGGACACTAGATCCCACACTTCTTTTCTTTACACAAGTTCGTTGCCATAAGATTTAATGGTTTACTGTAAAGGTCTCTCCAACCTATGGCTTCCTCTAATGTCCTCGGGAACATTTTCCAGCAAACTGGCCCTTACTAAAACTGGCCCTTACTAAACCTCACTAAGCCAATTTACCATTTCCAATAACTTGCTTTCAAATGCCACTTTTAATACTTTCCTACATACAGCAACTGACCAAGCCCAAAACAGAGGTGAGAAGATAGAAAAGTTTAAAATTTAGATCCTCTTAGATTTCATTGTTTTGACCGTTTTACACATTTAAGCACTCATTTAAGGCCATGAATGCATTAGCAGACATTCTCTGGCATTACACTAATGTTGTAAAAACGTTTGCAGACGTTATTTCCGGTTTATTTTGATATCAAGGTCTGCATCTAGACTGCTCAATTGTTCTTGACAATAATACATAAAGAACAATATTAATAATTGACTGTACATCAGCAGGTCTGTATATTAAATAAACAGCTCGACATGAAGCAAATAAATTGTAATCCAATCAAAGATTAAAAAGCCAAAGCTGTCTCACTCAACCTTCTGAAGCAAAGGACAACACAACATTTTCTGTACAAAAAGGAGAGTAAATGTGACAACCGTTTAATATTATTTAAAAACAAAACATTGATCCTAAAATATGTTCAGAGAACAATAAGCTTTGCGCTTAGCAAGTTTTAGCGGGTTTGAGTGCTGTGTGAGGCTAAACTAACGTTAACTTACTTAGTTTGGGGTTTAAAATGAGTACAATTACGAAATATGATCATTTCACATCATATTATTATAGTGTACGTTTATGGTTTTCTTCGAATTTCAGTTATAACGTTATTTGTTTTAAAAAAACCATAAAAGTCTCCTAGCGCGAGCTGCTGTGAGCAATAAAGCACTAACGTTAGCCGCCTCGGCTAGCTCGAGCTATTTCACAGGAAACGGACTTAATGTTAATTGTTAGTGATTATTAATGAATATTCATTTGTATCCGCATTTAACTCACCAGAACAGCACCATGAGGAAGGGGAACCGTTGGGGAAGCGGCTCGGATCCACCGTCATACAGACACTGGAGTTGAGGTGAGGGCACTCCATGAGCCTGTGTGTGCTAGCTAAAGCACTAGCTAACCCAGTCTGTACTCTGCTGCACGATTGCTGTGTGTAAACACTAAACGTGTATATTTAAAAGCCACAAAATGTGTTTCGGAGAAGCAGTATGTAGATTCCTAAACGTATAGATGTGTTAGCAGTGATGTTGCTCTGCTAAGTGAAGACAGTGTTGTTATGGTAAGAGGGCAGACATGTATGCATATACTCGGGCTGTCTCAAAACCCACCGAGCTCCCTACCCAGACAGCAGAAATACAGTCTAAATAGGGAGCGTACTTGACAATCTTCAAACTTTACTTTTACTTTGATGGGATGTATACACAAGCGTGTGTTAATCGAGAAAAGTCCTGATTTAATTCAGATCCAGGGTCATAGGTAGAGCAGTGATAATGAGAGAGAATTAAGAGATTTGTCATAGTGGATGATAAGTGAGAAAGTGTAACTAATTTACAAATCAATATTTTACTGCAGGTGTTTTCAAACTTTTTGATACCATGGATAATATCATTATCCCGGTTTGCGTCCCCTCCTTAAAATAAAAAGGTAAGCTTTAATGTATAAAAACCTGTGTATAGGCTACAGTGAATTAGACCTTAGTGTAAAATAGTATCTGACAAATATTTCATAAGTCTATGAGGTATGGCTTTTCTACCAACCATGATAATAATATACTTATAATAATAGCTGTAATATAATAATATATATAATCATTATAATTATAGGCCAATATAATCCTGAAGAAGAAAAAAATAAAACATTTTTTTTATCTTTAATGTGTAATAAAATAAATTATGTAAATGTTAACTTATTTATTTAATTTTATGAAAGTATGGCTAATAGTAGGCCTATGATAAAAATAAATTCTGTAAATATTAACTATTCATTTTTTTATTATTACATTTATTTATTTAATTTTTATTTAATTTATTAAATTAATATTGTTTCTGAAGAGAAACGTAAAAATATGGCTAACAATATAACATAATTTCTATGAATGTAATTTTTTTATTTATTAATTTATTTTCATTTTACATTCATTTTATATTATTTATTTTATTATTATATATTTTTTTCATTTTACTTCTGACGAGAAACATTGAACCGTGGCTAACAATAGAATTAATTCTGTAAATGTTGTTTATTTTTATTATTTTCCATATTTTATTATCGCTATTTATTTATTTCATCTTTAAAAAACATTTACACAAAGTCATTCTACACATATGGCTAAAAATATAATCAAATTAATTCTGTAAATGTTAACATTTATTTATTATTGTATTGCAATTTATGTAATTTTTATTTTATTTATTGTTTAAATAAATGTAATTTATTTTATCAAGAGAAACATACAACTATGACTAACTATATACTAAAATTAATTCTGTAAATGTTAATTTTATTTTATTTTTTATTATTGCAATTTATTTATTTCATATTTTCATTTTATTTTATTTCTGAAGAGAAACATAAAACTATGGCTAACATAATACAATTATTTCCAAAAATGGTAACTCTTTATTTTCACATTTTTACACTATCTTTCTCTGAACATTTTTGTTCACCCCTTTACAGCCCCATGGGGTTCCTGTACCCTATGAGAGCCTCCAGCAGCTGCATCATCACCATACACTGATGTTCTCTCACAGACAGACAATGCCACAGTTTTATATTTTAAACCATTTAAGACCATACAGACATTTCTACTTAAAATCTTTATTGTGATATGTCCAGTTTGACGGACATATAAAACAATGTGAATTCCAAAACATACTTCCAGAACTTCCAAACATAGTAGACACAAGTATAAAGTACAAGTAAATAAGCAACAGAAATGTTATTTGCCCTTTTTTTAGTCAAACCTTTGCTTCTTTAAAAATAAAAAATAAATCACTTTACCAAAAAAAAAAAAAAATGGGCAAAAGTTTCAATGTACATTTGTGATTTAAAATGTAAGTTCGGAGATTTCAAGTTTGGATTGTAGAGATTTCAAGCGTGGCTGGCTGTGCTTCTTCTCCTCCTTCCATCTCAATGGCCTGCACTTTCAGCGGCTGCTCTGCTGACTTCCCATCTTTCTTCTGACGTTTCTTCGAGCTAGGCCTAGAAAATTAAAAATTGAATGATATAAATTCCAGCGTAAATACAGAAAAAGTGAAGAAACAAATAATATGGATTAACACAAACAAAAATGTACTGTAGTGACATACTTCTTGAAAGCAAAGACAATCACCACAATGAGAATAATGGCACCAATAAGACCAAACACAACGCCCAGGATAATTCCTGATGGGATAATAAGAAATTAATATCAGTGGATAAATGAGTTGAATGAGTTGAAAACATCATAATCGAGTTTAACTTACCAACTGGTACATCTGATTCACCTGAATGGTCCTCATGGCCTACATCTATTCAAACAAATATACATTAATATATATATATATATATATATATATATATATATATATATATATTTGTTGCATGTAGATCTCTGAGTAAAATCACTATTATAACTAAGTTTAATTTGATACCACAGGTACCTGCTGCATTGAAACACGTGGCATTGCACCAGTCAGCAGTGAGGAATCGGTTTCCGTTTCCCACACATCCGGTCCAGTAGAAAGAAGTGCATGTGTGATGGTCAGGACTGTAGTAATACCGCAGATAGTGACCGAAACATTGCCCTGCTTCTTTTGGAAGCTTGCAAGCTTTGCGTTCTGCAAAAAAAAAAAAAAAAAAAAAAAATCTGTTTTTGCCACAGGGTGGCAGTATTTTCTTCAGCAAAAAATGTTACGCATAAAGTATCGGTGTCGTTGGTACACCAATGACAACAAATGAATCAACCAATCACAATGCATTTCATTCAAAACGATTTATGTCGCATTATTACAGACGAATGTGAGTAGAAATATTACCGTCTCTTGGGAACAGCTCTTCAGCTCTGTGAGAACAGTTTCTCATGCACTGCCTCTCTGTAATGAAACGGTTTGCATTTCCACCCTGCCCTTTGTACCGGAATGGAAAACAACTGTCTTTTTCTTCATCGTAGTACATATAAACCACAACATCAGATTCACCCGTTCCTTCATCTGATTTCAGACTGCAGGCCTCTAGATTTTGAAAAAATAAAGAAAGGAGAACTAGTAAGGCACTATTTAAACCCCACTATTTGAACACAAAAGAATAAATATTTGATAAATGTTGGTAACCAGACAGTTGACGGCACCCATTGACTTCCATTTAGAAAAAAATTCAATGGGGTTCATCAACTGTCTGGTTACCAACATTCTTCAAAATATCTTCTTGTGTTCAGCAAAACAAAGAAACTCATACAGTTTTGGAACAACATGGGGGTGAGAAAATGACAACATTTTCATTTTTTAGATGAACTATCCCTTTAAAGCAGGATGCATTCTGATTGACTCACAATATCGTAGTCTGTGCCATTATCGTTAGTTGTGTTGTGGACTCTATTCTTTTTTTATTGTTATAGTTATCGTTCTTAGTTTGAACGGGCCTTTATACAAATGAGATGCTACGAATCATATGCTTTAGCCACCAATTCGTAAAATAGTTATGAAGAGTGAATGAATTGCCACGATATTTTGTTGTACATGTAACTTGGTCGGAACAACAATGGAAATGGGAGTGATCTTTGTATCTTGAATGAGTAATGTGTAACTAGCCTGGATACAGTGCACACCTAGTTTTTATGATGGTTGTAAATGTTGTCTTTTTTTTTTTTTTTTTACAGATAGACACTTTCGCGTTAACGATTACTCGCATTTTAAACCTGGACAAACCTTGACTGTGGCCTACAAAAACCTGAGACAATGGTTTTATTTGTGCCTGTGTGTACAGTTAAAGAATATTCTCTTGGAGCAGATGTGTAGTTGTAAGTCCATGTAAATTTCCAACAGTAAACAAACACAAACATACATTTTCTTGTTCTCATTAATATAATCAATTGCAATGCCCAGTGTTGTAGTTTACACAGTTCTTATGAGTGAAGTCTGTTAAAACTTGTCCGTTCTAATCTGTTTGTATGTATTCTAGTAGTTTACTGAGTGGTCTGTACAGCTTTAGATCACTGTAATGTTTTTGTAACTCCATTAACCTTTCATTTGTATTACCAATTTTTAATGCGGCTGATTCTTCTGGTAAATATTATGCAAATTCTGTAAAAAAAAAAACACACACAAAAAACAAAAACACAGAAAGCCAATTCACTGCACTACTTTTCGATTGTTCCATTGAGTGTGGATTTGAATTGAATTGGCCACGCCCCACGGGAAGTTGCATAGAAATGACAGGAAGTGGAATTTGCTGATTTACAATTCAAACAAATTTGAACGAAGTGTTCGGCCATATAATAAAAGTTAATTTGTTAAATATAAAGATCTTTTAAAAAAATTAAGTAGACGTTTAGGTAAAAACATTTTTTAGGGCTTTTTAAGCAATAATCCAAGGTTTGCCCAAACTAACCTTCATTTTCTAGGTGTGACGGCGCTTCATAGATGGAACCTTTGCTCATGCTTTTATATCTTCACTTTACTTCATTTCATCACACAGAATACATGAAACAACCTTGAGAATTCAACATTCGTTTTTTTAAGTAATGAGTTAAAAACAAAGTCCAAACCCATAAACCTTATTATAACTCACAACACAAATTAATACCTTTACCTTTCTGTGTTAAAAAACAAAACAAAACTCTTACCTGGTTTCTGAGTTTGGGCCTGAATGTTGTGGTTCAGAGCAAAAATGAACAAAATAATGCCAAGTTCCCTCATAGTGAACCACTAGTTGTGTGAACACTGGTGTAGATGAACGTTTGCAAATAATCGGTGTGAGGGGAGGATGCTTTGCACTTTGTACTTCCTTGAGATAAGAGCAATAAATTTTGAGGAGGGGAAAACACTAATGTTACTGTAGATTCACAGTATGATTTCTTTCAAATAACTGATTGCAGAGACTTATAGCCTATAGCGCTAAGTCAAATGAAACTTTATTGTTTTGCAGAATTTGAAATAAGTTCACTTACAGATATAGCAGAAGACATCATTGATTGGACATTAATAGGTGTATATTGACAAGTTTATATAAAATGGTTGATTTGTTTTGCACTGCTCATATGACACCTGGGTGTGGGAAGACTTCTTCTTGACAGCAAAGACAATCACCACAGTGAAAATAATGACACCAATAAGACCAAGTGCAGCACCCCAGATAATTCCTGATGGGAGAATGAATTAATTGAATTAATATCGGTGGATAAATTAGTTGAATGAGTTGAAAACATAATATTCATGTTTCACTTACCAACTGGTAGGCCTACATATGATTCACCTGAATGGTCCTCGTGGCCTTGATCTAATCAAACAAATGTACATTAATTATGTTTTTTTTTTGTTTTTGTTTTGCATATAGATCTCTGGGTAAAATCACTTTTATAAGTTTAATTTCATACTACACGTACCTGCTGCATTGAAACACGTGGCATTGCACCAGTCAGCAGTGAGGAATCGGTTTCCGTTTCCCACACATCCGGTCCAGTAGAAAGAAGTGCATGTGTGATGTTCAGGACTGTAGTAATACCGCAGATAGTGACCGAAACATTGCCCTGCTTCTTTTGGAAGCATGCAAGCTTTGCGTTCTGCAAAAAAATAATAAAAAATACCACAGGGTGGCAGTATTTTCTTAAGTCAAAGCTGTTTGACTTAAAAATGAGTCAGTAAATGAAAATCCGTTTCATTCAAAACGATTTATGTCGCATTATTGCAGACGAATGTGAGTAGAAAGATTACCGTCTCTTGGGAACAGCTCTTCAGCTCTGTGAGAACAGTTTCTCATGCACTGCTTCTCTATATAGAAACGGTTTGCATTTCCACCCTGCCCTTTGTACCGGAATGGAAAACAACTGTCTTTTTCTTCATCGTAGTACATATAAACCACAACATCAGATTCACCCGTTCCTTCATCTGGTTTCAGACTGCAGGCCTCTAGATTTGGAGAAAAATGAATAAGGAGAGTGATTTGTACTGTATTATATTTCTGTCCATGGTCCTCAATTAAAATTGTGTAAAATCTACACTATATATCCTACATTATGCCAAAGTTCGAATCATCCATGGAAATGATGTAAAGAGAATGAGTTTTGTATCTTGAATGTTACTTTTAACTAGACAGTCCACACAATCATGTCTATTTTGATTGGCCATTTTTTATTTTGGCCGTATGCTGTATTTTATCCTTTTACTTAAAAATAAAAACTAACTTTACTCCACAAATCTGAAAACATCAATGTGTCCACAAATACCAACATGTGTCCAACAAATAGACACAAAATATTTGATATTCAACTTAAAACAATGTCATAGATCACTATTTTCCAGAGATTTTTGCCCAATTCTGAAATTCACACTGTAGAAATGATTGCAATTTTAACCGTAATAACTGTAAAAATGCTACCTGTTAAATGGTTAAACTTAACAGTTTGTTCTCTTACTATATGGTTAACCCTCTACTGCACAGTGTTGCCATATGGCAACATACCCTTTCTTTGGACATTTCTTGAAATTTGAAAATAAACATGAGCTCTGATTGATCTTAAATTCATAATAGAACCCGGTGGTAACCAATGATATGCTTTGATGACATCACGACACTACACACACCCTTGCAACGTCATTCTTTTCACACACTTTTGATGACTCCAGCTGCTGAAAAAGTGCCTGTGTATATGTGAAGATTTTCCTCATTTTTTTCATATTTCTTCGGAATAAAAAAATACATCAAGCATCTGGGATAAGTTCTAATCTTTTTTCAATCATTGTCACATTGTTTTGATACTTATATTACCTTTTTATTTAATAAAATAGGTATGTTGCCATATGGCAACATTGTGCGGTAATGGAACAATATTTTGCCCATGCTAATGCAGAGTAGCTTTGTATGAATGACAATGTATGGATGCACTGATATAGTTGGATGGTTGTATTATACTCATATATTTATATATATTTGTATATATTTATAAAGTAAAGTAAAAGTAAAGTATAAAAGTAAAATATATATCCGTCTTGACCGCTTTGATCACTGGCCAGAGATGGGTGCACCAAAAGGAAGGTGCAAGAATCCTGGCTGCAAGGGTATCGTCAGAGGGGTTTGCTCTAAGTGCAAGGTGCACCTCTGCCTTAAAGGTGGGGTATGTGATTTGCAAAACGGCCGGCAGATTTTGAAAATACACAACTCAAAAGATCCTACCTTCTTTCCTCCAACGCTGGCCCTGACTCCACCCATTCGAAGAGGGGCATGGGGGAGGGGGGTATGGTACGACCGTTTGATTGACGCACTTACTGTCCAATGATTCTAGGTGGTCTTGGAAATGATTGGCTGGAGTTTTTCCAGTCCTGCCCGTTCCACAGATGATTAAATTTTTTTAATTTTCATCTCAGTGCTTCTAACTCAGTGGCTGTAAGTGGGTTAGGAATAGGATTTCAAGTGATTTTGAAAAAATGGTCAAAAAAGAAAATCACATACCCCACCTTTAACGGAGAGAACAACTGCTTTAAGGCGTTTCACATCGAGTAGTTTCACTTGAACAGTTCTTATGAGTTTGCGTCAGATGTTTTGTAAATATTGTTGAAATAATACTTTGAAAATTAGTTTCATATTTTGTACACAAAGCTCTTGAAAACATTTTAAATAATAAAAACAATTTCATTTCTAAAAGACAGGTCTGTAATCATCTATGAATTTCATATCATTTTGGGAGAAAACGCATCAGGCTGTTCCATTGTCGCACAATGTTGCCATATGGCAACGTACCCAAAAGTACCCCTCCCAAAAAAAAGAAAAAAGAAAAAAAAAAAGAAATGTTAATTTGAGTCTATTTTATATATAAAAAAACACTGTAAATTTTTTTTCCATGATTGCATAATAATGCGTGCAGTAGAGGGTTAAAAACTATAATAGATCTTTCAGGGCATTCAATCTATTTTTAGGCATGAAGACTTTTTTTTTTTAAGGAAAAAACTTTTAACTTTGCAATTTTGGTGATCAAATATGAGTTTTAAGGGGTACAATTATTGACTACAGGGGGACTTTAAATAATTGTGTTTCTTATTAGTTTTGTAATAAGTTACATAAATTAGGGTTTTATGTTTCTACATGAGTGTTTATTGCATTATTTTAGTGTTACCATGATGGTGTTTTGTATTTGTGTGTAAATGACACTGCTTGCACCTTCTATGTATTGGTATTTACCTCATCTTGTGATGAACTTAAATTCGTCGTGTGGCTTTCTCTTTACCACCTGTGTTATTATGGTGGTTGTCAGTATATGTTATAGGATCAAAACAGATTTTAGTTGCAGTGTGGTTATGCTTATTCAGCAAAAAAGAACTGTTGGATTTACCAGTTTATTTATTTATTTATTGTTTGTAAATTACAACAGTTTTAAACTGTAAATGTACAGGTTGTTCTGTAAAGTTGTTTACATTTTACTGTATCTTTATTTAATTATTCTGCCAATCACAGCCAGTTGTTTTTTGGTAAAAAATTTTTTTTTTTTTTTTTTTTTTTACACAGTTCTTAAAATTCTTCATCTTCTATCAAGTTTTGAACTTGAACTATTAACGCTTTTTCATTTAGACTCTGGATCAACCAATATTAATATACTGATGTTTCATAATTGCAAATTAGCCCCTCCTCCACTCACTCACACCAGCTCAGAATTCCACTCGTTGTCGATCACACGTTGACCTGATTGGTTACAAGGTAGTTTGTGACGTCGGAAACACCAGCGATTTCAAACCGCGATTTTGAGACTGTCTTTGGTTCACTGCAGTTTTAAGGAGAAAATACTCAGCGATGGTGTTGACTTATGAATTTGCACATGGTTTGTCTTAAACCATATTAAAAACACCATATAGACATATAAACAACATTAAAAACTTGATTTTTTTTAAGCACAGGGGTACTTTAAAGGGTCAAAATTAACTGTCACTAAATCTCTCAAATGTTGGGAATCTTCTCCATATGTTAACGATTACTAGCGTTTTACACCTGGGTAACAAGTGACTAATTGTGGTCTACAGAAACCTAAGACAATGGCTTCATTTTCTGTTTGTACTGTTTACTGATTTGCAATCATACCTAAACACAAACATTCAATTGCCAATTTCAATGAGTTTACATGTTATTACTATTCTACTGGTCTAAAACACAGTGACTAACAGAACAAGTTATTATAAGATCAAACCAGACATAAACCCTGTTAACAAATTCATTTATTAACGTTTGTGTTTTATTTGTCTACATTTGACAATAACAACACTTACCTGGTTTCTGAGTTTGTGCCTGAATGTTGTGCTTCAGAGCAAAAAGGAGTAAAATGATGGCAAGTTCCCTCATAGTGAACCACAGAGTCGTGTGAACACTGGTGTGCATGAATGTTTGAGGAAGTTATGATCAGACACGAGATTATTTGGTATTTGTACTGTCTAAAGAGCAATAAAACTTAGAGGAGGAGGACATAAGTATGATTTCCAATAACTCGATTATACAGTGCTAAAATGAAACTATTATGGCATTTAGTTAAAGGGATCCTATTTTGCCCTTTAACGAAGTCTTGCTTTTGTTTTTGGTGTGTACTGGAAAATGTTGTCATGCTTGATTGTTCAAAAAACGCATTATTCACATATTTTTCATTATTACAGCTCCTCTCTCCCCAGTCTGTTTGAACGTGTCATTTTCGACGAAGCCCCTTCTTCCGAAATGTGCTGTGATTGGTTAGCTGGCCCAGTGTGTTGTGATTGGCAGCACTTAGCACGTGTTCGGGAAAGGTCATGCCCCATTCATAACCGCAAGCTCTTCTCAGATGTAGGATGGCTTCAATTTCAAACCATTTCAAGCCTGATTAAGACCCTGACAATGTTAACGAACAAGAGGATTGTGCTGAACGGATTTCAAGCACAGACTTTGCAAGCACGAATTTCACAGGACGTTTCAGAGTGGTATGTTTTTTTTGTTGTAATTTTCTTATAGATACGATGTTATCCACCATTTAATCATATTTGTCGGAAAAATATGGTAATACAAACAGTAATCGATTACAAAATAATTAAAAAAATTTAGCTCACTGTAATGTTACAGTATAGTAGGGCAAAGCTTTGCCCTTCGTTTACATCATAGCTATCATATAAACTACATAAAGTGTATAATTGGAACTGTTAATAGAAAACACAACTACAAATAAGACTTAACACTTACAAGTTGTGATCCATAAACAACAGATTGTCCCAACAAAATGGGAATGGCTATACGTCTTTCGAGAAGCTTTTGTGCGAACGTTGAGGTTATAATGTTCAGGAAGAGTGTTAAAAATAAATGTTACCCTCTCTAAGTTTGTTACCTTTATAGGACAAACTTTCCTGTGTGTGAAAAACAGCGACAACAACTCTTCCTCTTCTCTAAAGCAGCCCAACATTGCCTCACCCACTTTGTTGCATACATTTCCGGGGGCAGGGTTTATGTAAATTTTAGGCTTTGTGACGTCACCAACCCGGGAAGAAGCTCGTTGAAGTCCCTACTCCCTACCAGCCGTTTGTTGTAGTCCTTAAAAAGCGATTTCTGTAAAAGAAAATATCTCCCTTTGCATTGAACTTTTAGCCTCGTTACTTTGCAGATGTTGTTTATACTCAAACAGCAACATTACATACTAACTAAAGTAAATATTTAAAAAAAAATCATAATCAAGGACCATCAATATATATTCAATAATATTATAATATAACATAATATAATAATGTGTATAATGGCCATTTAATGCACCTCACTATGGGAGAATTCTTAAGAGGTTACAAGTGAAAATAGTAGCATGATGCCAAAGAGGCTCCACAAATCATGTGGCAGATTCAGGTTTCAGTATTGGCTGTTCCTAGTGGAACATTAACACACAATTAAGTAAATTCAAATCTGCAGTCCCATCATAAATAAGATTATTTAAATAAAAAAAATCATTTTATTACATGTAAATGCAAAATATATTTATTCTGGAGTGGCTCAGCTGGTATAACACTTCTCCCTCGTTTGACCTTTGAATCACTAAACGATCATCCATGTGTCTCCAGTGGGTGATTCACATAGTATGTGACATGTGACAGATTTAGCTTGGAGTGGCTGGAAGCTTGTTTCCACTGTGTAATAAAAATAATAAAAAGTGTAGTTGCAAGTTAACTCACAATAGCGAGAAAAAAAGTCATAATTGTGAGGTAAAAAGTCGCAATTAACTTTTTAAAATTATTTGATTCTGTGGCGAAAACAAGCTTCCATATAAAGTAGCTATCAGTGTGTATAAGAAACAAAATCTGAACATCTTTATCTCGCCATTCACAATTTTTGTTACAAAATATACAGGGAAACAAATTCATTTTTTGACTATTGAAATAAATTTAAAAAGAGACTGGGGCTATACTTATACTTTTTTGCTCAAGTGAATACTTCTCATTAAATATCCACCAAATATTAACCCTTTGTGTAAGCGTGTGGGCATATTACATATACACTCACCGGCCACTTTATTAGGTACACCTGTCCAACTGCTCTTTAACACTTAATTTCTAAGCAGCCAATCACATGGCGGCACCTCAGTGCATTTAGGCATGTAGACATGGTCAAGACAATCTCCTGCAGTTCAAACCGAGCATCAGTATGGGGAAGAAAGTTGATTTGAGTGACTTTGAACGTGGCATGATTGTTGGTGCCAGAAGGGCTGGTCTGAGTATTTCAGAAACTGCTAATCTACTGGGATTTTCACGCACAACCATCTCTAGGGTTTACAGAGAATGGTCCGAAAAAGAAAAAACATCCAGTGAGCGGCAGTTCTGTGGGCGGAAATGCCTTGTTGATGCCAGAGGTCAGAGGAGAATGGCCAGACTGGTTCGAGCTGATAGAAGGGCAACAGTGACTGAAATAACCACTCGTTACAACCGAGGTATGCAGCAAAGCATTTGTGAAGCCACAACACGCACAACCTTGAGGCGGATGGGCTACAACAGCAGAAGACTCCACCGGGTACCACTCATCTCCACTACAAATAGGAAAAAGAGGCTACAATTTGCAAGAGCTCACCAAAATTGAACAGTTGAAGACTGGAAAAATGTTGCCTGGTCTGATGAGTCTCGATTTCTGTTGAGACATTCAGATGTTAGAGTCAGAATTTGGCGTAAACAGAATGAGAACATGGAACCATCATGCCTTGTTACCACTGTGCAGGCTGGTGGTGGTGGTGTAATGGTGTGGGGGATGTTTTCCTGGCACACTTTAGGCCCCTTAGTGCCAATTGGGCATCGTTTAAATGCCACGGCCTACCTGAGCATTGTTTCTGACCATGTCCATCCCTTTATGGCCACCATGTACCCATCCTCTGATGGCTACTTCCACCATGTCACAAAGCTCTAATCATTTCAAATTGGTTTCTTGAACATGACAATGAGTTCACTGTACTAAAATGGCCTCCACAGTCACCAGATCTCAACCCAATAGAGCATCTTTGGGATGTGGTGGAACGGGAGATTCGCATCATGGATGTGCAGCCGACAAATCTGCGGCAACTGTGTGATGCCATCATGTCAATATGGACCAAACTCCCTGAGGAATGCTTCCAGCACCTTGTTGAATCTATGCCACGAAGAATTGAGGCAGTTCTGAAGGCAAAAGGGGGTCCAACCCGTTACTAGCATGGGGTACCTAATAAAGTGGCCGGTGAGTGTAAGTTGTTGCATTAGGGAACCTGCTGTTTATTTACAGTGAAAGTTGAAATGACTTAAACATCCAAGTTGATTGTACTTTAATTTAAGGCCGCAACTTTTTTTTATCAGTGCATGTATTACATCATTAGAGGGATAAAGCATTACAAAATTAACCAAAAACAGAGGTTTGCTATGTTATTGTAAGAGTATTTAGCTACATTTTTGTCGTTGTATTAATTTTGTTGTTGTTTTTTTGCATTTCATGAAGAAAAGCTAGGATGATGCTTATATATGTCGTTTAGGCTATCATAATAGTAATAACCTGACAGGGAATGTTCTCAGAACCTCCCTGACCAACGTTCTGGCAAGGTTCTCTCAAATATTAAAGAAATGTTCTTCATAACGTTAAAAGAACGTTTGTTCAAAGTTATCTGGTCTTCAATAATGTTATCAAAACGTTAGCACAAAAACATGTTTGGTAACGCTTTAGATTACAGCCCGGAAAGTACTGCGTAATTAAGACGAATTTACAGTGTAACTTTTGGTAATTATAGTGTACCTATAAAGTACTTACATGTAAGTGTAAGGGTACAATATGTAAAGTTTGGGGAATAAAGGGGTAACAACCAGGAGAACTAAAAAATGATTTATACTGTATATAACTAAGGGGAACTTATTCTACTATTATGATACAACAATCTTACATTTGGGAGCAATTTTTCGAGAACATACGTAGCTTTTTGTAATAATGGTGTACCAATACATATTGTATAGGATTTTAAAAAATGACAGGGTACATATCTATGTATTTAAACAGTTGTTTTTTTGTTTGTTTGTTTTTATAGCAAACGTGCAGATGTTTAATTTTGGGCTTGCATGTTTCAAGGGAAAAGTAAAGCTAAAACTATTGCAATTTTTTTAAATACTGGGAAATATACTTTTGTTCCACGTAGTTACAGGGTAAGTGGTGCTTGTTACCCTCTTGTTTTATAGTTACAGGGTAAGTGTGACATTGCGGGCTGTAAATTAAAGTGGTGTTTGTTACCCTCTTGTTCCATGTAGTTAGGGTAGGCTAAGTACAATAAAAATACATACACACAATCTTGTATCACTGACTCGGAAACCTTTATTTGAAAAACAACTTATTACAGTTAGTCTGAAGAGATAGTCTACAGTTTAAAATATTGTAATTTTTCTTACAAACACTTATCGTTTCCTTTCAGAAGACATTGATCCATCCATTGGGGTCGTATGGATTACTACAGTTATTGCAGTATGTGCTGTTTGATGCTCCACCTTTTAGGAACACATGAGCTTGCACTATAAGTGTTCTGAATTAAGTTGTTTTTCAAATAAAGGTTTCCGAGTCAATGATATAAGATTGTGTATATTTATTTTTATTGACCCTGTAACTACATGAAACAAGAGGGTAACAAGCACCACTAATGAAACAAGAGTATCTTTCCCCAATATTTAAGCAAAAGTTGCAATAGTTTTAGTTGTCAGTGCACTTTTGTTAAAAAGATTACTGAAATGCATATGTACCCTATAATTTTTAAAAAGCCTATACACAATATGTATTGGTATGGTACACCATTATTACAAAAAGGCACGCATTGTATGTTCTTGCTAAATTGCTCCCAAATGTAAGATTGTTGTATCATAATAGTAGAATAAGTTCCCCTTAG